TCAGAAACGTATCGTACCGTCTACTCAGCAGTCGAGAAGGACGTAGTAATCAAAGCGCTTAATTTTAACGTCAAGAATGCTCCCGACAAAGATTAATTGGCTAGTTCAGAACATCTTTTGAAGACGAACGGGCTGTCATAAGAAGCTCAGTAGCCAATTCGCCAGTCGTACCAATGATCTCCCGAAATAATACAAGTTTTTTCCAAAGACCAAGAAGCGCTCAAGAAGCTACCGAGGAAAGCAAATGTAGTAATACTTCCAGCGGACGAAGGACGTTTGAGAGGGTTATTGGATAAACCGGATAACATTGAAAGGGTCAAACAACTCCTATCCGACACGACTACTTCCGCCCCATCAATTGGGGCAGCAGCTCGAGCCGAGTCACTCGAATCAACACAACCCTGAAGAAAGTGCAAGCAACAAATGAAGTCACCAACCAAGGACGATGGAAGATGAAAGCCGACGATACAAATATTACACAATCATATGGGCTACCTAAGGTGCACAAAGACGGGGCTCCACTTCCACCAATCATCTTGCTACCAAGAACACTGTCATACAAGCTGGCGAAGAACCTCTGGGGAAATTGAAATCTTTCTTGACCGGATCTGAGCAAAGCACAAACAATGCTAAACAATTCCTCGACAAACTACTTTCTGTCAAGATGGATGACGATGAAATTATGCTGTCACTCGATATCACTGCTTTCTTCACATAGATCAACCAAGAACTTGCCAAGAAGACCATGATAGAATTACTCCGGAATTAACCGAGCATAGCAGAAAACATGAAACCGGAAAGTATGTGAGAATTGTTGGGTCCATACATGTCCACTTATTTCTCCTTTGGTGGACAAATATAGCAACTGAAAAAGAGCGCCTATATTAAGGCTCATTGGCGACGCCATAATGCAAATATGAGAGCTCATTACCATGCCGTCGATCAATCCAAAGCTTTAGATCCGATACGTTGACCATATATTGCTCATAATAAAACGAAATACTGTGTAGTGTGCGCATGATTTGATCGACAACATACACGAGATCATCAAGTTCACGATGGAATTGGAGGATGTAAAGAACTTGCCATTCCTGGATTTTTTTTGGTTCACAGAGATACCGTCAGCGTACTTACAACTTGTGAATATCGGAAGAAGTCCTTCACGAACCAAATATTGCACTACCTCAGTAATCACCCGATGGACCACAAAAAGTGCTGTATCCAAACTACTCAGGGGATTGGAAACACACTGTAGCACATTGGAATTGAGAACGAAGAAAGAGAATCATCTATACCGCGTGTCGCGAAATAACGGTTATCCAAAAAACTTTATTCGAAGAAGCCGGCCCGTGGCCTTAACGATCACAAGCTTGCCTTGTAATCTGATGGCGCGGGTTAGAGCTTGCGTACGAATCGGGCGACCCTCGCAGTATCTTTAGTCCGCATGTGACCCGTGGTGGTTGCGCGGCAGCGAAGCGTCGGTACTGCGTACCAACGTACTGCTGGTGCCTTTTTATTCGAAAAAGCCTAAAGAAGAGAACGTCTCAGCATCTGCCAGAACAGACAAATAAGCGAGTAGTGCTTCCATACATCAAGAACATTTCTGAACTGGAAGCATGATTATTTCAGCTACACAGAGTAACCGTAGCGTACAAACCAAGTGCTACCCTGAGAGAGTTGCTTCCAAGACCGAAGGGCAAAAGCGAACAATGCATTTATACCCTTGTAGTCTATCAGATAAACTGCAGCGAAAGTAATAAGCACTGTATCGGATAGACAGAAAATGCCTTTTACCCGGATAACAGAGCATAAGAAGACATGGGGGGTCAGTGTTGGGAAAAGCAACACCGAACTACTTCCATTTCGGATACGGTCCTAGTGATCGTAATGGTTGAGGTCTACTTCAAAGTGAACCGAGGTCTGAATAGTGATTGCGTGTCGCAATCCAACCACACGACGGGTACTCCAAATCCAGCTTTGAATTTCTTACCGCTGTGCCAAGCGTTGCTCGCGGATCTTAGAGCCATATTGATCACGGCGTCAGCCTTTAACCACTAGACCCCGAGTTCCATCCCAGCTCAGGCTATCTCCATCTGATGAGTCCAAACAAAGACGAAACCGGTTATGGGGTATCAGGGTTGGAAGAAGCAACACCGAGCCACTTCCAAGGCATGACACCTATTCATTGGTTTCGATACACGAGGATGAGGCAGATCATCATTTTGACCAGGAAAACGTAAAGATTCTATCACCTGGGAATATTAAACAGGCAAGAGAATTCTTGTAAACGTAGCACTCCTCAAAGAATGCAATCAATCGACTTGTTGAATTAGACGCCGTCTAGCAAATCTAAGCGCAAAGAACTATTACCATACGAATAGCTCAGACAGTATTTTCGACTGTGGAGACAAACGGGGCATGGTCATGAGGCATGGGTCGAAAAGGCCATTTTCAAAGGCCATATGCACAAACGACCGATGAGGTGACCCATAAAAAGCGCGCTCATAACCACCAGATTCACACTTACGCAACGCCCCGCTACGCTTTAGACTAACTCACTGATGATGTCACCTCGACTTGTGACGAGACGTTTCCAATATAATTACCAAGCTCAGCGAACAGTTCGTTTAACAAACGAACAATGGAACTATTGAAGAATGGTTAGCGGCGAAGGGAGATAAAAAGATATCAGCAGTTCCCTGGTACACAGTAACAACCGCTTCGTTGCCACTCCACCACCAACAGTTGTGCGTGGGATACGGATTTTGCGAGGGTCGCCCGGTTCGTACGCAGGCACGAACGCGTGCTCTCGGGTTTCATGACGGGCTTGTGATCAGTGGAAGGAAGGAATCTTTGCCACTGCTTTCGCTGACTCATCAAGCATCAAAACAGGTTTTCACAAAGATATAGGCATCCCAGTTGATGTACGGTTGAACACCTCGATTACCCGTGCAACTAGCAGTTGATGTGTGGCCGACGTGGCGAATCCCGTCAAATGAATTACAGGACAACATAAGGGTGGCTAACCTTAAACTAAAAGCATATCAAGCGCGGAGAATGGCGACTTCCCAAACCAACAATGACAAACAGGGGAGTGAGTTTCCATTCAGTTCGAAAGTGAAATACGGAGATCATCAACGGGTCCCTGTGTACACCATCACTGGGCAAGGAGATTCACGACAAGACCTTGTCAGTGAGCTAATAAAGCGGCATGAGTTAGCAGAGGATATCCCTTTGCACATGAGCGCTCGCGAAGGTCAGAAAGACTCCAGACGAAGGCAGCGACAGCGAGCACTTTGGTGGGGGAGGAATGTGGTGGACCAAGAACAGTTACAACTGCGCCCTATTAGTACTATAGAAGTGCCAAGAACACTATGCCATAACGAGCCGGCAGCGTACCATGCTAACGCCCCAACAGAAAGGGATCGCTTGGGAACCGCGGATGTATGCCCACGAGGATTAAGCACAGAAGTAGTGCACGCTACGTAACCTCCAATAGAAGGCGCGTAGATGCGTGCAAGTTTCGTTGGTCAGATTTAGTGCATGTGTTTCATAATGTTTACCACAATAAAGGCCACCGTTCGCACCTTGAGTTCTTACGAGCCTATTCCACCATTCGTTTGCTAGGTTGAGCGCAGTCGGGTTTGGCATAATTGACTCGATTTTTGTTAGAGACGTTGTATACGATTTCTATGCACATTTCCGCTTGATATAAATACACTGCTATCATTTTCGGAATTTGGTGATGATGCTGTTGCAGTCAGCTTCTCTTTCACAAGTATCAACTCTCAAAAATGCGCATTACCTAGCTGAACACTAGTTTTTATTGCCGTATCTCTCTCTCGTTGCTGTACCTCTACATTGTCACCTCCTGAGCACTCTGCTTACATGTGTAAGGCCATTTTAGCGTTCGACGTGTCAGCTGAACAGTTAGTTTGTGATTGGCAGTATTCGGTTTGCTTCACTTGCTACTTGGTCCGATACTAAGCCAACAGTGAACCGCTTAGGTGTGCTATCAACATCTCGATTATTGCTATGACTAACCAAATGGGTTGCGCACATTCTCACCTGAGGCTATAGTGCCGAATTGACATCTGTTGGCGCTACACCAGCCCACAAAACATGTGAAGTCATTCCATTCAGTGATGGTTCGTTAGCAGCATTGTCACTCTTGTGGTTTACACATGTTTCAACCGTACATCGTTCCTACTAGGAACAAACTCACTTAGAACATCATAGTTCAATTCTGCATCTACCGCTTTCTCTCTACCAGCAAAATGAAATAATCTGAGTTCTCTGTGATCCGGTTTACCTGGATCTCTGTTGGCACCCAAAAACGTGTCCGCTCTTTTTGGTCATTGTCACCTCGTGTTGTCTCTTATTTCACGAACTAAATCCAAGATGATGATGTAATCGTTCCTGTGTTTACTCCACTGCTATGTTGGGTGGTGGCTGAACGGTTAAATGCGTCGGCTTTCTAACCCGATAGTCACCGAATCGGATCTGTGCACTTGCAGGCGACCCTGCAGTGCGCACGCGACTAGTTTGTGATCGCGTGCTATGGAAGCGCCCGTACAATATAACGCTGGCGTACTCCAACACATCCCATCATCATATTCAGAAATTGCGTTTACACATTAGAGATTTTGTATGCGACAGCTGGGAGCTCAGCTGAGACAACCGACTACGTGTATACTTTGATGTGTGTAGTATGTGGACTCAGCTCATAAGCTGTGGACCCGAGCAACCCCACAAAATGGACCGTTGGGCAATCTGTCTGCAGGCAGCCGTACGAGTTCAAAGTGCTTTCTGTTCACATACGCGTCGCCTTCGAACCGCTTCCATAGCGCCGTTCGCGTACACTGACATGTACATAGATTACGACATACGATTTCAATTCTAAATCGTCTTTTGCTCTACTGTTGCGATTTGGCTTCCTTGCCTCTGTGTGATCGATGTAATCACGGTCCCTCTGTTTCTCGCTGCCTTTGTCCCATTAGTCTGTGGCCCATCCAGGCAGAGAATCTTCGACTAGTTTGGCCGCTGGCGACTTTACTCCCTTTGCTCCCGATTCACCAAGTGGCGACAAGATAAGTCCATCTCCTGCTTGCGCGCCAATTGGGATTTGGGATTTCGACGTTCCGTATTTGTTGAGAACGCCGAATGGAAACAACCGGCATTCTCCCAACTACCGCCGCATGCTGCGTTTGCGCGACGAACAGATAATCGCACGGTTGCGCTCAGTCGTGTCACCGGGCAAACTATCAAGCAAATACGAGACTTTGGGTTGCATCGGACACGGGTAAGTTTAGATGGAGCTCACTAGCAATTTTATTTTTGGGTATTTCACATTATTTTTCATATTCCGATCGAAAATCTTTTGCTTCAACGTGACGTTTGTAGTACATGACTAATGAGTAGTATGTTGAAGCAAGCAGGCGCGATGAACTCAGCGAATGATGGATCACCGCGGAAAACGGGCGCGTAGTACACAATTCACCCAGCCATGGAAACGGATGGCGCCTTAGTTTTGGACCTATACCACACCGTCACGTACGTTGTTTACGCGCCTGGGGTGTGGATGGAAGAAGAGGAGAGGTGGCCAAGCGATGACTTGGTCGAGAGGAATGAAGGTTCTCAGTTCGAAGCTGGCCTCGGTCGGAGCGCCTCGGCTCCCTTTAGCTGAATGCACTTGCTGACATGGCTAGCAGCTGACCTAAGTGGCGTTCGTGCTGTGAGTTTCTTTGTCCCACCCCATCCCTCTTAGCCTCCCCCTCCGACCATGATCTCAATTTTTAGCATAATACATATTTTTGCATAGCAAATTTTTTTGCTGAATAATAGCCGGCTGGTAACTTTCCGGAACGATGCCCATCCGTTCTTGATAGCTCTGCTGGTACTCATCTGTTGTCTGTTTTTCTTTCTTTTTTCTTTTTTTATGTATTGCGGCACCAGTAGCTTAGGTGTTTTCCACTTCCAGCTAACCTCGCGGAAAGCTGAGTCGATAGCACATAGTGGAGCGTAGAATCAAATGGCACCACGGATGAAGTGCGCACATAAATTCGACTATTCTATGTTCGAATTTTGAAACATGAATTTCCCTTTATAATTCCAAATAAGAATATCAGAAGACGAAGATTGTGAGATGACTTTGTGTTACTCCTAAATCACTATGTTCTATGTTCGAAATGTTTTGCCATGTTTACGTTCGTTCTCCAATACGCAATTTCTACTCGCCGCGCCGCCTTCTCTACACTTTGGCTGTGTAAGATCCACTTGCTGTAATGTTCTAAGTGGGAATGTGAATTTACTCTTTATCGTTGGCGGCAATGAGCTCACGAAGTTGACTATTCCTGCAGTTTGTTCTAATTGTCCATTTGACATCTGAGAAATTTGTTTGTGAGTTTTGTGTATCATTTGCTTATTCAGCGGTGAATGTTCCGCGTTCATGTTGCCTATCTGGTTGGTTCGGTAAGTTACAACTCAATTAAAAATGTCAAATCAAACATCAAATCAAATCCCACCAGATAACTTGTTTTCTCAATTATTTATTATTTGCTTGTACATTTATTAATTAGCCATTTGTTTCCTTCCCCGACTCACCATTGTCGTACACACCTATACATCGGCCCAAACTGTTTGCAGTGAACACCCGTGTTAAATTTCAGAAACCCCCCCACTTTCTCAATTACATGGAGTATATCACTCCGTGTAGATAAGTGGGACTGAGCTAATCACGGGGTTGGGAGCTCATTCATCTCACACGAACACGATGCTACATTGTTGACATCGATCGGCTCCTATTCTGTCGCGCACATCAACTCCTACCATGCCGGTTGCGATGTTGATCGGCCCCTCTCCAAAGCGATTCGTTCCATATACCTTACTCTTTGTAGTATTCTCAAAGGCAAGACGTTCCATCCACATGCATTATAATACACTCGATGAAGTGGTTCCAAAAGGTTGCTGGGCTGGTGACTGCTGAAACTGAATCACGAGAGCCACATAACATGCAACGCCCGGTGGATTCCACTTCCGAGCGACGCATTGTTCACGCGCAATCGCGCAAAAGCGTTTAACTCGTTGATAACATAAAATGCCTAACGTAAGCGAAAGGGCGCTGCAACAATAACTCGTTGTTGTCTCTTCGCTGTCTCTTCGGATGACGTGATCTTAGTAGTTCTATGGGAATAGGATGGGAGTAAACAAGCTACTTTACAAAATCCACAAGATGAAACTAAAACCGCAGTGTTCCGACGTAGTTGAGAAAATTTTAGTCGTGCATTTAACACATATTATAAGCCACAAAGACCATTCACCGATTTCCTACAACCCCAGCTCATCGAAATGCCTCTAACTCCCTGCGCCTAGATGTTGACTCAACAGTTTAACAGATTGATGCACAGTATTAGTTATATGCAAATTTGTATTTATGAAGAGTTCATGATAGTCACAGCATGTTCTTCCACTGAGTCCAAACTGCAAACGATGGCTTGTATGCCGTTTCTTTCCTACACGGATCAGGTGGAATGAGGTAACTCAAAACGAATAACTCCACGTATAGGCTCTGTCGCCAATGTTAACACATACAATACTAACGTAAGCCTGCGAATGCAGTAATGGATCATTGCCGAACGACGTAAGGACAACAGAGTACATTGAGCTGATAGCACACGTGTTTACTTACAAGAGCGTGTACAGCGCATCGATCAAGTAGCTAAGACTATAGTAATGAGTGGGTAATCGATAGACAGACACACGTGCACATGTAGGGACAGTCATTGCTGACTGTGAACATCTGACTGGCGATAGTGACTCATACGCCATACAGCTTTCCTTGCGCATCACACAGGATGAACACTTGCAAAGCGCTTAGCCTGACAGTCCTCACTGGTGGCTTTGGCGCAGAAGCGTACGAAGAAAGAAAAACTTCTATGAAATACTGAAGTATAACCGTATTGGCCGAATTACTATGGCAACCTGCATCAATCAAGATTGCCCACGGTGGTTATGATTTTCGGTTCTACTATGGTTTGTCGTTTCCGATTGATCTAAGTGGATTGAGTTGTTAAATTTGAGGAGCAGCCTTACCCGAATACTGTCCACAATGAAAACAAGGAAGGTTGTTTTCCTCCTATTTGCATTACTTTGTTTTTGGGTTGTTTCGGCGAATTTTATATCTTTTTCAGCCACCTTAAGAGTCAAAGATCAAGTTTGTCCATGATTGTGGTTAACTGATGTTGATGTGCGCATACCCGACTTTACCTCAGTCATGTCACTTTCGTTCTCTGAGCATGCACATCATTGAAAGAATCCTTTTCCTTTATCATTCCATTTTTCTCTTGCCTCGAAGTGCCACTGGGATTGTTCACATTGGCCGAGAATTAACCACCCACTGTCGTGTGGCTATCAAACAAATGAACTTGCGAAAGCAGCCCAAAAAGGAATTGATTTTGAACGAAATTATGGTTATGCGTGCGTATCGCAACCCGAATATCGTCAACTATCTGGACAGTTATCTGGTGAGTACCACTCAGGTCGGCGAATCCTCGGCTGTTTTGTATCTACTTGCACATTGTCATAACAGTAACCATCGCGAACCGTCCATCATTTTTTGTTATCAGGAAACTGCTTCATCGTGAAGTTGCTGTTAAAAACAATGTTGACACCTTTTGTTCTTGTTCATTCTGCATTCTTGCATAAATACCTCATTTATTTCCTCCACCCCCTAACTACTTCACTTCATGCTGGTTACTTGTCTTCCTAAAGCCGGTGAACTGTGCGGGCAAAGTAAGAGGCTGACTTGAGTATCCGGTTTTCTATCCAAGTCTCAGAATATACGAGGGTCATTCAATAAATAAGGTGAATTTTTCGGTATAAGGACTTCTAATACAGATAGAAGCTTACTTTTTGTTCATTTTTTGTTGTTTTACTTCTTTTCCACATGGATGTAATTCCTTTTGCAGATTGAAAAAAACTGAGAGTTGTAGCGATTAACAAAGATGGCCGACCAAGAAGCATGCTCCAGGATTGAACAGCGGTCAGTTATCAAGCTTTTGGTTGCTGAAGAGTGCAAACCAGTTGAAATGCATAGGAGAATGTCAACTGTGTATGGTGCCACATGTTTCAACGGAAAAATGTCCACAAGTGGGCAAAATTGTTTACAGAAGGACGGAGCAGTGTTGAGGATGAAGACAGGCCTGGGAGGCCTACACAGAAGTGAGGTCTCCTGAGGTGATCGAATCAGTCAATGACCTCATTCAATCGGACAGAAGAGTGACAGTGGATGACATTGCAAAGACTTTGAGCTTATCTGTTGGGGCGGCACACAAAATTGTCCATGTCATCCACTGTCACCCTTCTGTCCGACTGAATGAGGTCATTGACTGCTTCGATCACCTCAGGAGACCTCACTTCTGTGTAGGTCTCCCAGGCCTGTCTTCATCCTCAACACTGCTCCGTCCTTCTGTAAACAACTTTGCCCACTTGTGGACATTTTTCCGTTGAAACATGTGGCACCATACACAGTTGACATTCTCCTATGCATTTCAACTGGTTTGCACTCTTCAGCAACCAAAAGCTTGATAACTGACCGCTGTTCAATCCTGGAGCATGCTTCTTGGTCGGCCATCTTTGTTAATCGCTACAACTCTCAGTTTTTTTCAATCTGCAAAAGGAATTACATCCATGTGGAAAAGAAGTAAAACAACAAAAAATGAACAAAAAGTGAGCTTCTATCTGTATTAGAAGTCCTTATGCCGAAAAATTCACCTTATTTATGGAATGATTCTCGTATTATAGTGTATCACTTGCAAGTTAGCTATTGAATGGCCACTCTCAAGAGATTGTGTGTAGCTTCGTGGCTTTTGAGGAAATCGGACCCGGTCTATATTTGTTGATCGTCGCCCTAGGGAGCTTTAATGTTTGTACTGGGTACTGTTTGCACTTACAATTGGACAGGTTCTCTGGCATTCACAATGATCAACTTTAATCTTTCTTGAAAACACAGCACATTTAAGACTTCAGTCGACTAGCATACATAAAAATAGCAAATTCCGTTTGCTAAATCGCTGCTTTATGGCTATGAATTATTTTTGACGGAAAGTGCAGTCGCTTTCCAATGTTTGAATCTATTTGGCTGTCAGTTGCGGGTGTCTCATCTTACACAATGCTCGCATGTATCTAGAACCCACCGAATGCGTCTAATGTGAGTGTCACCAACATCACTTCTGCATTTGACTTCGCATTCGAGTTGCCACACAGCCAGAAGATTATTGCCGGCGATTTCAACCTACCGAAAATACGCTGGTCTTCCCACCCAACGTCTACCTTGCACGCCTCTTTTCTTTCCTCCATCAGAGCATGGGGCTGTACACAATGGATTACCAGTCCAACCAGGTCCGCCAATGTACTGGACTTAATATTCACATTGGGGATACCCAATCCATAGACCGAGATACTAAACAATCTCCCTAGCAGCGACCAAAAAAGATCCGACTCAGCTTCCAAATTAAAATGGTTACTAAACTCGCCTCTACAACGTCAGTTACAACCCATATGATAAACTGGCCATGCTTTCAGCAATTCATTCGTTTCTCCAACTGGGGTGTATTTTTCCTCTCTACAAATGTGTACACCGCAGTGGAGCAGTTCTATAAACAAATCCATCACGCTACAGCCCTCCTTGCTCCACAATGTATTCATACCCCTCATATCTACAAAGATTCTGTCGAGCACTTAATCAGGAGGAAAACCAGAAAGTTAGCTGCAAGATACAGAAGGACCCATGATTTTTCACTTGTCTTACAAATGTATGAATTTATCACTAGAGTCAAACATGCAATTAACACGACGGAAAAATGAAGAACCTACAGCCCTACGAACAAACTGCAAAGCTAAGGAGGTTGTCAAAATACTGCATCGTAGAACCAGTGACCACTCTCCTCTGATTACCGAAATTGTTGATGGTGATGGTGACTTACTCCATGACCCAGCTGAAATCTGTGAAGCATTTAATGACTTTTTTGCCTCTACCATGAGTCGCGAAACTAACCCGGTGTTTGTGTGCACAGAGCTCACAGTAACAACCCTCTTAAGCAGAGTCGATATCTCGCTCAAGCCTATCCACCAAGTTATCAAATCAATCAGGCCATCTTCCAAGCTGGGATCTGATGGCATTTCACCAACCACCATTAAACTAGGAGGGCCTGATATACCATTGCTCCTGATGAGCATGTTCACTCTATCGCAGGAATCTGGCCACTTTCCAGACTAATGGAAAACGTCATTTATTGTGCTTCGGCATAAAAGAGGTCCCAAACAAACGATTGATAACTACCGACCAATCCACCACACTCCGATAAGCGCTGAGCTATTTGAAATGATGGTCAGAATGGAGATGATGAATTTTGTGGATTCTAAGAGAGCAAGAACGAACATTTTACGGGATAACCTGAATTTAGATCCTTTCGCGTCTTCTGAAAGAAACGCCTCCCTCTTGATAAATTTTGTTGATTCTATTGGCCTGATCAATCATTCGCAATATGGTTTTCTCAATAAGCGATCGTGCACCACCTGTCAACTGCATTAACTTAATCACATTTCAGAATCAATCGATTCCGGCTATGCAGTAGTCATCTTGTTCCTCGACATACACCAAGCATTCAACCAAGTACCGCACAAGCGACTGTCACAAAAGTTTGAGAATTTTGTGATCCGGGACTCATTACTAGGTTGGCTATCGCCATACCTGAGTTATCGTCATCAGGCCGTCACTTTAGGTGATTATGGCTCTTCCCCACGCTCAATCACCAGTGGAGTCATTCAAGGGAGCGCGCTCGGCCCCTTACTCTTTTTGCTCTACATCAATGACATCACCACATCCGTAAAACATGATACCTCATTTTTACTTGCCGACGATATCAAATCAGTCTATAAGTTTCGACGTGACGAGCTTCACGGGACATTACTGCTCATTCAAGATGATTTACATTTCCTTGTGACATGGTGCTGCACATGGGTGATGTACCTCTCGGTTAAGCAATCAAGCATCATGTCTTACAGCTGCTGCATCCCCGAAGGATCTATCACCCTAAACAATGAACGCGTCCCTACACATTTGTCTACGCGAGATCTTAGAATTAGGTGCTCGTCTACCTTCAATTTCCCTGAACAGGCCCAACACCAGGTATCACCTGCCGGACAGTCTATGTTCAATATATCAAACAAAGTACACACAACCAATGCTAGAGTTGAGCTTTTCAAGCTACTCACTTGCCCCATCCTCGAATACTGTAGCATACTATACGGCAACATGAGAAAGAGTGACAGAATTGCTGTGGAGCACTTGCAGAAGTCATTTATTAAACATCTGATTGGTAATAAGTCTGCTAGGGGTTATGGTGAACGTTGCAATGAACTTCATCTCGAACCACTTTGCATTCGGTGATTGAAGCACAACTTGCGATATAGAAGCAAATGTTGGTAGCTCAGGTTGGTTCAGTTGGTGGTCTGAGTGTTCGCTAAGCTCGGCAGTTTGACTGCAAACGTTTCGTCACCACTCGAGGTGACATCGTCAGTGCGCGTTTATTTAGCAGAGCGGCGCGTACGAAGCGAACGCTCAGAAGCACAACTTGTTGCTGCTTTTCAACATATTACACAAAAAGACCTATTCCAACCTGCCTACACTCAGTTTACAACATTGCTCAACTCGAGCGCTTCGCTACAAAGATTTTACACTGAATATACCGAAGGCTAGGACGAAAGTCTGCTCTAATTTCTTCCTAGTCAGATATAGCTATCTGTGGAATTAACTACCAATAACACACAGGTCATGTGACAACGTGGCAACGTTTAGTAACAGACTCGCCAATTACCTTGATCTAACTACCCTAAGCTCTATATCCACTGTGGAAAATCCGTCGATGAGCTATTACAACAGGGGCCCAAAACATATAAACACCAAAGTTTTCACAACTAGGCTTTGGCTTCAACCATCCGCCAGAATGTTAATACATGAAACGCATAACCCAATACTCCACCTATGCAAGTCACCCATGCATGTGCATGAATTCTCCTGTAGAAATTGATCTTTGCCGCTATAGACACAGTTTCTCTCATCAAGAGAAATATACGTATTATTATTCTTAGTATCAGTATTATTATTATTATGTTATCTAGATGCAACGAATACTGATTTTTGAGCTCTTCAGCTAAAGATATATTTTATCTGAATAATGCCGTAAGAAGACGAACACTGGCAGATGTCAACATTTCGTATTGTCTCTTCAGTGCCAACACAATAACATGAAAATATATAAGACGACAGGTAGGTTGAGACCGGAACAAGTTAGAACAGGGTAGAGGGGCAGGCGTGACACTTTTTGGACCCAATGGTCTGTCTTTCCGGCTACTTTGGTGAGGACCGGTTAACATCCCATGTTTACTGAACGCCTTCAACCCCATGACTTTCAACCGTTCAACGTGCACAGAATTGGCTCACTGTGGTTCTGATTTGTGAGCGGGGCACAGTCTGGGTTGTCTTCTGACAGATGCATCACTGATTATGGCAACTAAGGTACCGGTATTAATTTCCTTCTTGTACGGCTGACCTTCAATTTCACTGGTACATTGTATTTTGCATGACTGCTACAGTCGTTCGACGTTGCTTTCCAAATTGTGTTTGCTAGAAAGTTGTCCTTGCCTGGAGGTTGCACGTTCTTAAGTGGCGCTTTTGGAATTTGTGACGCTACAGCTGCGCGATCTTTGACCAAGTGCCCTGCTTCCTCACATGGGATGCAGACCGACAAATGTCGATTTCCAGCTCAGTGGCATGTAAAAAGCAGCTCAGGGCATCTCGACGTGACATTGTTCGTTCAGTCGATTTATTAATTCGTATCTGTGTGTGACTGTATGGAAAAACTGGCAACTGTTTATGGACATTTTCCGACTGCCGGACAGTGTTACAGACTCTCAGATCATGCCTACGGCTGGCCCCTATCCCAAAGGATCACAAGCCTTGTAGTCCGAGGGCGCAGCTTCGAGCCTGCGTAGGGAACCGGGCGGCCCTCGCAGTATCCGTAGCCCACGCGCGACTGTTGGTGGTAGTGATGGGAGTGTCAGTTCCGAGTGAACAGATGGACCAACCGAGCGAGCCAGACAACCAATGTGAGCTGGCCGTACCGGCTTCGTCTGCTGGACTCGGATTGGCCGACATTCGTGTGGGTGATTTACCGTTTGTTTAACTGAGTCAAAGGAGGAACCTCATCGACTCAGAAGGGTCGTTATTTATGGATGTGAACATGCAACTGACATCGAGAAGTTTAACTTGCCAAACATGCTGTAATTTTCGCTGAGTTGATGTTGCTGAATAAACACTTGTCCGTGAAGGACCGAGTTTTGCAACAGTGGTTGCGCGGCAGCCAAGACTCGTTATTGCATACTGCTGATACCTTTATCATGACCAATACGGATACCAAGTGCCAGACAGTGTGGAGCCAATTCTTCTTTGAGCTTGATGGCTTTAGTTTCGCTGTACCAACAGTGTGGTTGGGATGCTGGTAGTATAGTGTATGACACCTTCAGCGTTTTACATGATTTCCGGAAAGAATACCGCGCATCGCATGTGTTCTGCCCTGAACACCATAGCTCACTGAGGACACCTAGCACATTATTAATTGTAATGTTTTCGCCGATGTGGGGGGGGTATCGTTCACCTTCACTCCCCACAAACCGTTATGGTAGTTCGATAGCGGGCTTTCTGAGAGCACCGTATTTTTGTTGCAGCACGGATAATGACAGTAAATAACCCAAAAACGCACTCCCGGAAGGTCCGGGTAGCCGTTATCGGTTTCTCAGATGGAATAACCCAACGTTATGCAAACAGTGGCAGCATCGTAGTAATTTAATCCCGTCACTAGAATGTTCCATGGTCCGGTGGAAGAAACAAACGCGCAGTTAATGCTTATAACCATTTAATGAAAGCTCTTTACTTCACAGTGCTCGGAAGGACCAAAATTTAGAAGTCATTTAAGTAAATAAATTGAGGCAGAATCAAACGTCAATCATTTATGTGAACAGTTGTGTTCACGATCGATAAACCAGTGCATTCATGACACTGTTTTCGTTTTTGGTCGCGCTTTTCACTATGAAATGTTCATGCAACTGTCGACGTTTGTGTTCACTGCACACTCCTTGATGAAGGAGGTAATCGAAGAAGCCGCGCTATCTTCACTGCAGGTGTCCCACTTGTCAGCGTGTGTGTGGATGCATCGGCCGAGGTCAGCTACACTGTCCACTATATCTCACGTTTTTCCTTATGTCTACACTTCCTTTTTCGTACTGGCCCCGTTCACCATCCGACCAAATACATCCCCGAAGCACACTTGGGCATTTGAACCCGAATGAACTGGCCACTTCTCGTTCTTATACGGCTGCATGCGGGAAAATCGTTTTGTACGTTACTAGGGGAGAGGGATCACCATCTGTAGTAGGCTGACACTAAGCAACCCCGCCATGCTTGATGCTTCAGCCTCAGTTTTGCTGACTTAATGGTTGTCGTGTTGACACTAGACATCGCTCTCAATTTTATCATTCCTGAACTCTTCACTACAGCGCTGGCCCATAAAATCCCCATTGTACCCTGCTTCTCTATTCTCTTTTCTTTAGCTCAAACGAACAATATTTGTCTTCTCTCCACCATCAGTTTATTGTGAACCTTGTCATTCTCGCCACTTGCTGCATCATGTCAAATATGAGTTGTCACACCACTTTTTGTTCATGCCCTTCCATCTCCAGCTTGGCGATGAACTTTGGGTGGTGATGGAGTACCTAGATGGTGGCTCCCTCACCGACATCTTGACTGAGACTTGCATGTCCGAGTCACACATCGCCACAGTATGCAGGGAGGTGAGTTGATTCTTCCCTTATGCTTGTATGCACTGTATTTCATTGTGCTCACCACTTGTACATTTCACATTCTCAAAGTCAGTCATCACGAGTTTTCATGCCGTTCACTGTCACGGGAACTGTGCATCTTAAGCGGTCATTCTTCCTCTTGGTTAGGGTCTCCGTCTGTTGCAATCCCGCACATGTCTGCGGTTCGCACGGTAGCTTTTCGAGACCATGGAGCTGTTTGTAAAGTTAATTTTAACCGCAGTCCGTTTTCATGTGAAACCCCTGTAGCCCATCACCGTTTCCGCTTCGCGACATTTAAGCGAACTGAACCCAACTTGGGATTCAGCCATCGCATGGCTTAGTTTACTGACTAGTGGTCACACTTGCCGTGAGAGACAGCATTTGTCTAAATTAAATCTTTTTGTACATAACCATGTGTAACCGAGTAGCCTTGCATACTCCGCATCCTATTACATCTCAGCTTCTGCTCCCTTAACTCAGACGATAGTTTTTTTCGTCCTCTTATATGCTGACTCAGCACGCATTCCCACATGCGCTTTTGCGCGGTATTCGTTTTTCTTTGTTGCTGTCTGAGCTTAATCTTTTCCTCCTGTCACTGATAATGCATTCGATCGAGTAATACCGTTGGTTCATCTGGGAAAGCAGGCGGATCAGCGCAAGGATACGATTAAATCCGAATCCATGATTTTCAACATCACCGTATACCGTAATGGTCTAGGCGTTCCTCAGCGCTCATTTCAAACATTTCCTTTTTCGCTTTACTGTATGCCATTGTGTCTACCTTCACCCTACTTCGCCTCTGGTTCTCATTACCGTAAATTCCATATTACTTTGTGGTAGCGTACATCAGTATCACCACTTACACTCACCTCAGAGCTATTTATGGTAGCACAACAGAACCGGAATTATTTGCATTCCGTTTTCAGTCCCCTTCTTCTGCACGACTATTTTGTGCTGGTGATTTTAGAACATAATGATTTTCATACCGTAAAGAAGAGGATACTTTACTTCGCAATCGCTAATCTTCATCGTAGCCCTTCGTACCTTACCTGTCGGCCTCTTATCGATTCCTCAAAATCTTTTGTTGTTACCCACCAATGCTTAAACTTTGAGAATTCAGTGTTTCAATAGCAGTTGGTTGCAACCTACTCCATACGATGCAGAACATGGTGGCTTCGCCGAAAAATAATTGCTCCGTTGTATGTTGGCGATTATGAAAGGCCTATCGACCTCGAAGTTCACACGTGTGTTACAACGCAACTCAATGTCTGCTGACTTGGACGGACAACCTCAAACTATTGATGCCAAAAGAGTAGTATGAATTGGATGGCATAAACTGTATTCATCTTAGCTGGCCTCCTCCAAATGGTTATGCACGTCCTAAACTACGCAGTACAGTTGATACATCCTATCTGGACGCGTTTGTAGTTCCTATTCCATCTACCCTGTGAGAGGGTACAACCAGCAAATCATAGTTCAGGATCCATCGGCTTACCGTGGACGACGACGAGCAAGAATGGTAAGGACGAAACGTCTTTCCTATGTTTTTCCGGAAGATCGTTTCGTCTAATTGAGTGTAGTTATGGTGAACTCCATTCCTTCATGCCATTCGAATCCCCTGAAGACTCATATTGTTGTTACTTGCTTACTAAGCAAACAAGTTGATGCTTTTCAATGCTAATGCACGTCGTTTATCTACCAGGATATTAGCTGGGCCTGTTCTTCATGCCGTTACTAATATGTCTGCCTACCGCATGCGATTCCGGTTATAGCAATCAGGGTGTTGGCAAACTTCCAACTGGACCGGGAAACCAGTAGACAAATACCTCGATTAATAGACCTGTTAACCAGAACGAACTGTCAAACCATGGTGCATACAGCTGTAATCCTCATCATAATTCATGTGGTCTGGAAGTGATCCAGCGGTGGTCAACTCATAGTTCGCTTACATGTAGTTCACCCAGCAACCTCTGATAATTCATTGTTAGTCGGTCGTTCTTACCTAGCGTGGAAAAGTTGATTCCATCGGGACAGGCATCGATCCGTCTTACTAACTAGGATGATTCTGGTCGGGAGCACTACTCATTCTCAAAACCCTGTGTGATACCTATTTTGAACCCCATCGTCTGCCTATGGGTTAGTTAAAGTTTGCACTAATGTGCATGTTGTTCTCGTCTTTTCCACATCTCTATTCTGCCACGTTCTTTTATTTGACGTCAAGGAAGTAAAGCTTCTGTAGCCCTTTCTGGCCCACTTGTTCGTCAAATTGACCTACTTCTCTCGTTGTCTATATACAATTTTGGCCCTTTGTATTATTTCCTGTCATGAAAGACTACGATTTTTCTAATGCTATCGTTTTTGCATTAATATTAACAATAATGCGATGTACTCCGCAACAGTTTGATCAACTCGCCTTTCTTGCACCAAATAAGAGACTCCGAACATTCATCACTCGCGTGTTGTTTCCACCAGACATGAGCTAACTTATAAAGGCAGCGATGATCTAACTTAACAAGCCTCATTATGTTTGTCGATCTGGTGGGCCAGGTTTCGCAACCGTACAGGAGGGTCGAACGGACATCTGCATTGTAAACTTTGCCATTCAGGGCGAGAGTGATGTCGCACCGGCGCCACATGTGGCGGCGATTGGCAAAAGCGCCTCGAGCTTTTGCTATACGGTTCATGACCTCATCATGCATTTCACTGGTGCTGGTACAGCTGCCTAGCTAATTAAATTTCTGAACGACTTCTAACTCATCCCCATCAAGGGTTAACGCAGAAATGAGAGCCTTCCAATCTTGGAGATGGACTTTGCATTTCGTGGGTGCTAAGCACACGCCAATGCGACAGACAATCAGTGTTAATGTGCCCATTGCTACTCGGCACGTTTGGTAGCTGTCACAGATTAGGGCACTGTCGTCGACCTAAGCAAAGTCGACACGTCCATCATCTCTGAGCAACTCCAGCGAACGCCCTTTCCATAGATACGTCAATGACGAAACTAGTTAAGGAACATGCAAGTGAACAACCTTGTTTCACACGCTAGAGATATTGAAGGACGGCGACAGTTTGCCATAAACCCTTAATCTGCCCAAGCTGTGCGCGTAAAACGTACTGATAATGTTCACGTATTCACCGGGCACACTTTTCCTGAGTAGCCTGTCCCAAAAGCACTTTACTCCACCGGATCTAAGGCAACTTTGTTGTCGAGAAATACGGCTACACTGGATCGGCTATACGTATGGCGATGCTCCAACAAATTAATTAGAGTGATGATGTAGTCAACGCAGCTTCGACGAACCCAGCTTTCACGGGTGCCAGCCCGTCTGTGGAGAATGACAGGTGCAACTAATTTGAAGACAATCGGGATCAGACTGATTCCTCTATGCCGACTTCATTCATTATGTAAGCGAGCTCTAGAAACTGGGGCTATAATACAGCGGCTCCCCTCTGTTGGAACTGTCTTCTGCTCCCATAGCTTCACTAGTAAGTTGTGCAGATCATCTACAAGAGCAGGTCCCCCGAATTTGAAAAGGGCTGCAGTAAGTCTATCTGCTCCATCGGCCGTATTCAATTACGACAGTTGGATTTCACGTTCGACTTCTTTGCTTAATTGCGGATCTAAGGAGACTGGGCAGAGAGAAGTGCACTTAATGCTGGAGAAGAAACATAATAACTCTGGTTGATTAAGCTTATTTCCAAAGTGTTAGGCCCAACGCTCCCAAGCGTTTTAAAAGTTTATGGATGGGTAGTCTACTCTCTTTGCATATGGTCTCGCTAACACCAAGTCTTATTCTGCCTGTTTTGCGTATCAAACGAAATAACTTCCGATGTTTATCAATAGCAGTGACTATTTCCATCTTCGAGACACAATGAGACCACCAGACTTCGCTGTCTGTCTCTTCTTCCTAACACGCAGTTTCTCTCTGAGATTTTTGCTGTTCGCATTGTGTCCGTTTCCAACCGAAGCTTATCCGCGATCATCCACAAGTTCTATTGACTGCATACAGACCCAATATCCGCGTTGGCAATTTGATTTTTCCACCAGAAGACATGCCTGCTGATAGTAACGTCTGGCGACTGTACGATCGGTGATCTCCAATTGTATTCAATGCGCTTTTGTTTACACAGGTCGGATGCCCGCGTACTTTGATACGCATTCAGATCACCTGTCTTCGTCAGTCGGCTGGTCTCTCTATTCTCACAGCGTCTTCGCTGACGTGCGCCGAAACGCACCCATAAGTTAACACTTGCAAGAGCGTGGTCGAATTCCACGTTCGCGCTCCAAATCGAGTGACAGCTTTAGACGCTGTGTCTCCAGCGGTAACTGATCGCCATATGATCGATTTTTGTGTACGATTGGTCCCACGCTGGTAAACACTATGTCGCACTTTGCGGGTGCTGTGTTGGAAGTTTCTGCTCCCGAAAAATAGACGAGCACATTCACAGAGGTACAGCAGCCCTTCACCGTTATCACTACATGAGTCTGCACTGTGTTGGCTTCCCGGTCAGTTTTTCAACTTGGGCGTTTAAATCACCAGCCAGCAACACAGTATCCGTACTATTTCTGTAACGAAGGAGCTCGTTCCGTTGTTGGTATAACTCATCTCACACCGCGGCGGTGCTGCAATTTGCTGCCGCATATGCAGCAGTGAAAAAGACAACGTTTGTCTTCGCTGGAATTTGAAGCTTTGAACGAGCAGCCAATCTGACAGCAGATTCGGCTGTTGATTGGGATACAGTCGGTCTACGAAACTTCAGCCTGGTGACTCAGACCAATGCCAGCACCAATTTGACAGGCATTTGAAGTCGCATCATCTCCGGAGAAGCGCAACAGAAAAATGTCGCCATTATCGCGAGTGGGATAAATCTGGAGCTCGAATGTTGCGGACAGGTTCCCGATAAACAGCGGATATCGATCGAATAGGGTCTTTAGTATTCGGGCAAGTGCTGCCTGTTGGCCATTCTGTAACAAAGTGCGCACGTTGAGGCATGCCAGTCTTAGCGAGCCTCGAGAGCTTCAAATAGAAACGGATGAGCTAACGTAGTCTGCTTTGTTGGACCTTGACTTGTCGACTGGACTTGAGCGACGTCTTGCGATTGCGTGTGAGTTGAAACTAGGAGGCAAGCGACTATCTACGCAAGAGTGGGGAGGGCCTAGAATCGGGGGTTGAAAACAGATAGAAGCCAAGTCAGAATGGGACGATAAGGGTGAAAAAGCGCGAGAGTGGAAATAAGAAGGCGGGAAGGCCTGAGCAGTAGCATCCAGACCCCTATCCACCCTGCTCGATGGAGCAGACAGGGCGCTGTTGATTATCCTCTGCGACGGCCACAGCATCAAGGAATTCATTAAGTGGAAGTTTCTTTTATTGCGTGAGCTGGTGGTCCAGCCATAGACAGGAGGACGATTATGGTTCTCATCCAAAGCCTTGGTTAAAAAACTGACTTCAAGTTAGCGAGATTTTGGTGATGGGCTACAGCGAGTCCCTTTTACGGAGTCAAGTTTCATCCTCTCTCCAATGCCAACCTGTAGGTCCAGTAGACTGAGTTTGTCAGACCTTTGACCAATCTGCTATGTGTGGGTTTGTAAATGTGAAAAGCACCACCCAGCGTAGCTCCATGCATCCTTGAAGCAAGCCATCCATCGCACCACCTTAATGTCCTAGCTGGCCACGATTGCATAATTGTTGGTGGCACTGTAAGGTAATGTGGCTGGATTAAGGGTGTCTGTAGCAACTTATGTGATCCTTGTTTCTCCCAGCAGCATAAGGACTCGGCAACTGATTGACGAAAAAGAGATTGCTTATGAAACACTCTATCCTGACTACCCTGTGTGGAATTAGCATAAAGAGTAGCAACATTTTCCCTCGTTTAGTTTGAGATCTGTACTTATGATAGTTCTACACTTCCGCTTATTTCTAACTCAGTTTGCAACTCACCCGCCCTCCTCACCATGCTCGATGTTCCTTCAATGCAGGTGCTGCAAGCTTTGGAATTTCTCCACACCAAAGAAGTGATTCACAGAGACATAAAGTCCGATAACATCCTACTCGGTTTGGATGGTTCCGTCAAGCTGACTGATTTCGGGTTCTGTGCCCAGCTAAACGCGAATCATGGAGGCAAACGTGACACAATGGTCGGAACTCCTTACTGGATGGCACCTGAAGTAGTGAGCCGAAAACAGTATGGCACCAAGGTGGATATTTGGTCTCTTGGTATAATGACCCTGGAGATGATTGAAGGAGAACCTCCGTATTTAAGCGAGAACCCTTTGAAGGTGAGAGCAACCGCTTAATCGTGCACTTTTTTATCGGAAACGTTCCATTGTACTTTGTGAACATTGACATCGTTCTCTAGCTTTCAAAATACAGGTATAGCGAGAGCAGTACTTATTGAGTTCCCTTTTAAAGGATAACCCGCTAGGGCATACTGGCCGACTCACATCGTAACAGTTAATGCGTTGCACTGACAAACATCCTGGAGAAATATTCCTGCAGTGAGCGTACTCAGATCTTGAGCATTTGGAACCTAGAATGGGGTATTACGAGGTTAGTCTCTCTGTTTGGTGCGATTTGGTTGCAATGAACTCAGTCTACTCCCCGAAAATTGAGGCTACTCTAATACTGATTACCTTGATCACCTATTATCATCACCAACAGCACTACATCAGCTATTTGAACTGATGTTTCGCTGCCGTACAACCATGGTGGTCTGCGGATCAAATAATGATAACCATGAGATAAGGGGGACCTTACCTATAACCTTAATGCTTTAAACAAACATTCAGGGTCACGGTGCCTACACCTTGTGTCAACCACATACCATCACAAACAGCTGGCTATCGTGCAAAATAAGACACCATCGGCGAGACAGCCTCCTTGCGGTTTTCACTGCCCCGCGTCACAATCAGCCAACAACCCGCAGATGACTCAGCACCAAATACGCTTTACATAGGTGGTTCGACTAGGAGACGACAGCAGTTTCGTCACTGGTGTTGACTGTGAGTCATGTCCTGTAATGTCTCAAGCCAAGCACAAGGCGGGTCACGTGGGCTCCAGGCTGGAAGCGGAGACAGACCGACGACACTCAGTTTGGTCGTCAAAGACTTCATTTCACGCTGCCAAGTCAACTGTTATCCACTTCGAATCTTTCGTCACCCTACAAACAAAAGCTAACCCTCGGTAAGCGGTGACCGGGCATACTTAGTAAGTGTCCAAGCCAACGCAACTTATTCAGCGCCATCTGTTGTTCTAAGGAACTGGTATAATTATCACTCTCTAGCACTTGCCTACGCACATCATTGTTTCGGACACGCCGGTGCCATCTGACACCAGCAACGCTTCCAGACAGCGACGATCAAAAACTTGAAGGCGCCTTGGGTCTTCAGACCAAATGGGCCAGGTCTCAGTAGTATGGAGAAGGACGACCCTCACTGTTGCCTTGTACACATGGCTTTTCAAACGATGTGGAACTCCTGTCTGTCGCCAAAGATGTCGCAGATTCAAGGAGGCGGTTCTGACTTTTGCAATACGTGAACTAACTTTAGTAGCTATGCGCACATCGTTGCTGATGCAGCTGCCAAGGTAAGTGAAACGATCAGCTGCCTCGAGTTCCTTGTTATCAAGGGGCAAAGGGACATTAAGTTGCTAGTGGTCTTGCAGCAACATTTTGCACTTTGAAGGTGCGAACCGCATACCAAGTAATGGGACCACTCTAGTGAGGCTATTCAAGGTTGACTGGGCCGCTCCAGCATCGTTAAACAGCAAGACACTATGGTCCGCGTGATCAAGATCAACTGGGTTTTCACCAAACAGCATTTCACCGTCTGCAGCTTGCGATTTCGCAATGGAACACTCCATGAACAACTCTAACGGAAAGCTATTCCGTACTTCGCCATGGACCCAGACGCGGCTTATGGTGTTCGAGTGTAGAGCACGTAATATAATCACATATTTTATAGGAACGCCTTTCCTCGCAACTATTTCGAACAGAATGGATCAGTCGACTAATTGGAACGCACTCTTGTAGTCCTGGGACACAACTGTTGTCGGCCTGCTGTATCTGTGGCGCTGCTCTAGCACCTACCGCCCATTAATATGTGGTCCATACAACCCCATCCTGGACGGAAATCTACCTGCACTTCCTTAATCCGCGATTCCCGTTCCTCAGTGAGGCGACTAACGAGCATTCAGATGTGGTAGGTCCGTAGTTATTTTGTATCGATATGTCAATACTCTATTCATCTGTAGCAAATGACATTTGCAACGTGTTCACCATATTTCGAGAGCCAGTATTTTTTCCTGTTTTCCCCCCAGGATATCCTGTAGACGAGTAGCGTTAAAAGTGTACAGTATCTTCGTGCATTCTGTATGCACATGGACTTTCGCATGCTTCTGTTTATATCCTTGCTGTGTACCATGAGGAGCAAAAAAGCAGGGACGTGCTACCCTTGCTTACACTGTTAGTAACAGACTTCGGCAATGGCACTTACGACCCTGTTTGTGTTTGTAGTGTGCGATCAGTGAGATTTGGTTTAAACCAGGCACGCAAGTGATCCATGACAAGAGATGATGATGATGATGATGATGATTTTTCCCGCTTCCCACTATGCGACACTTTGTAATACACACTGTTGTATGCTGACGAAATTGATCCTATCCGTTTGGTCACTGTCGTTTGGATTTATCAAACGATTAAAACTTTTTTTCGGAAATCGGGTTGTGGGCCTCGTTTTATCGCGCTCTGTAAATGATTACACTCTGTTTGACTGTCGGTTCTGTAGCACTCGAAGCAATTGCAGTGTGATTTATTTGGCGGTGGTTTTACACGTGTTGTCTTGGTCCATTTTGTGTTTGGGCCTAATAAACGCTGATATCCACTGCAATAAAGACATTCCCGACTCCGTTTACATGCTGCAGATGTTTATGTGTATAATTGGAATACGTGGTCCACCGTGTTTTAGCACGGATTTTGGTTGATTATGCGGCTCGGGATTGTCGTAGTCAGTTATTAGGGGCTGAATATCCATACAGTTTAGCTGCATTGTGCTCACTTTAGCAGTATCTGTAGGTGTATGCTACAAGCGCATGTCAGCTTGAGAAGGTCGGCCTGTAGTCTTAAAAATCACAAAACTGCCTTGTATTCACGAGGTCTTGGGTTCGAGGCTGCGTAAAGTACCGGGTGACCCTCGCAGTATCCTTAGCCCACGCGCAACTGGTGGTGGTTGCATGGCAGGGAAGCGTCAATACTGCGTACCGGCGTACTGCTGATGCTTTTTTTTCTTGCAGGGATCCGTGATCATGTATTTCTCCGGTAATGTTATCCCTGGAACTACACTTGGCTAGGTTTCATTTCCTGCTCGCTTCATTTAATTAGGTCTTTAAGTGTGTTGTTAGGTTCTGGAGCCCGCTTTACTTCAGACAGTGATCTCCGTTTGCACTCTAACTCAAGCTTAATAAAGTTTGTCCTGTCTAAGTAATAAGTAGCAATCATATGTTCGTTTATCTTGGGTATGCACAGTCTTTAATTTCCGTAACAAGTCATCTCCAGTAGGTATTTTTTAAGTTACTTTTACTAGATCCTTGCTTGATTGTCACACGTGTGTTTGGACCTAGTTGGAAGTTTGAGTACATTCCCTCAACCACAGCCCGTAGATTTTACCATGGTTGAAAGGATCCCAAGATAAATTTGTTCATTTTCTGTATAACGCCGCCAGAGGTTGAGGTTTAGAGTTTGAGATTCGTCACGAGTGAGTATTAGCTCCGGTTTGCTATTGCTCCTAGTCAAATGTGAACTTATTATTTCCATAAGACAATATGGATTACTGAGATGAGACTCATGAGCCTAAGGTAAACGAAGCGCTTTCCCAACCAGCATTCGTCATGTTTATTTCACCACTAATGAGCTTTTGCCTGAAGCTAAGATTGACAGCTTAGTCAGCGACAGAGAAAAGATATTCTAAGAGATCCGGGAGTGAGATGTAGCCACTTCTTACTTATATGTGTATAACACTTGTGTCTACAAAAACTCAGACAGTTTCGGTATCGTTGTTGGGTTGTGGGTCCAGTATTGAACGGGAGTGCGTTTTTACAGTCAGAAGTAGTCCCCTGTTATTTGTGCCCACGTAACAGCTACCCACGGAGGATTTGTAGCACTCTACTTGATAGTAAACATCCGGCACATGGGTGCGGTATCAGGTTTTTGGTAACAAATGTTAGCCGTGGCAGGGGACGCCAATATGTTGGGTAGACAATTCATTTTAGTAACCAGAACGGGTGTGATAATGAGAATGACTACGATGTTGCCCCACTTAGTAGATTAGCTCTTTTATTTCATAGTGGACGGGAGGTAGGATTTCGCCTATACTTGTCCAGTTCACCATAATGGTGGTTGATGACGTTATGGCTTTCTGAGTAAAGCAGAGTGGGGAGCAAGGGTTGCGTAGCACTTTTGGCGGCAGGATTGATGCCTTAGACTGATAGTGTGTTTAGTTTGAGCCTATGATGATTTCCAGTGTAGCACTAATCACTGTTTATTCCTTTGGTTTTTTTGAGTATGTTCAACACGACTCGTTGCTGGAGTAAGACTACTTATTTATTCCTTCCCTATCTCGGATATACGCAACGTGGGAGTTTTCTTTTGTTTGTGTTTGAATCACTTTGACAGTTACCGAATTGAACTCCCGGTAAGGTGGATTGACCCTGCCCTGAATAGTTCGCATCTTGTGTGTGATGGAAACACATTCAATTTGCGTTGGAATTTGCTGATGAAATTATATGATCAATGACTAAACAACAGCTTATGAGAGTACCATGTTACCTGGATTCTTCAACCATCAGATAACCCGGTTACGTCTAACAAAATGTGCTAAACTTGATTACCATCCCAATAAGTCGCTCTCAACTTCAAGTTTAATCATTGGGTTTTAATTATTCAGTACCACTGGAAGAGGTGCAATCGAATAAGGATTGAGACACAGTTGGAACAATTGTATGAATACCTGTCCGTTTTGACACCAGTCACCTATGACTCGTGCGGTTGGTTTAAGGCTTAGACGGTGGATTTGATAACTGATTTTGTGTTGCAGAAACTGAAAATGCAACTCTAATTTGATAGAAATAGAAAGAGACTTAACTGCAACGTGGTCTTTCTGTAGGAGACGCTTTCTCTTTGAGCCTACGCTGACTTTTTTAGACACGGAGATGAAAACCGATCAGCACGGATATAAATCGTTTCCAATGGACAACAGGTATCAAAACAGAAGTTGCGAAAGCTCAT